TTTTCTAAACAATTTTAAACCTGAAGTATTTGTCCTAATCTATTTAATTATTTATATGATTATATATAACATATATTTATTATTACAACATAAACATCCCTTTGGAATGGCAGGAGCAAATATGTTTGAGAAAGTTTATTAGTTATTCTGATGAGGGAATAAACTGTTGTAGGAAGAGACTAGAGGCTATTTTAATCAAGTCAAGAAAAGGGAGATGACCTTTTTTTTAATCAGCTCTTTAAGACTTGATGACCAGTAAAAAAATAAAACACAAGGAACAAGAGAGGAGTGAATAATGATTTCATGGGGTGCCTGGGTGGCTCAGTCGTTAAGCATCTACCTTCAGCTCAGGTAGACGGTCATGGTAGATCTCAGGTAGATCAGGTCATGATCCTAGGGTCCTGGGATTGAGCCCCTCATTGGGCTCCCTGCTCCGTGGGAAGCCTGCTTCTCCCTCTCCCACTTGCCCTGCTTGTGTTCCCTCTCTCACTGTGTCCTTCTCTGTCAGATAAATAAAGTCTTAAAAAAAATTATTTCATGGTTCCTGTCCATCCCTTCAGGTTTGTTGAAGAGTAGCCCAGGTGCATGAAGAGAACACTGAACTAGAAGTCACAAACTTTGCTTCTAACCTGTCACTTAAAAACCTTGTAGCCTTGGCCATACCAGTTTCTTATGTCTTGGTTTTGCATTCTCCATCTATGAAGAAATAAGGATAGGGGCACCAGGGTGGCTCAGTGGGTTAAACCTCTGCCTTCGGCTCAGGTCATGATCTCAGGATCCTGGGATCGAGCCCCTGCACCAGGCTCTCTGCTCAGCAGGGAGCCTGCTTCCCCCTCTCTCTCTGCCTGCCTCTCTGCCTACTTGTGCTCTCTCTCTCTGTCAAATACATAAGTAAATCTTAAAAAAAAAAAAAAAAGAAAAAGAAATAAGGATAATGGTGATTTGACCTGCCTATCTCACAGGAGATAAAAGCTAAACAAAGGGTATATATGTGAAAGGGACTTGTCAGCTACCATGTAACAAAAAGATATTAATAGCTACTGAGGTGACCAGGATTGCTTGGAACTGGTTCCTTTCTTGTCTTCCCCAAGATTATATTACGCAGAGTCTGCCAAAACTGCATGTTTCTTACATGTTATTTACTTTGGTGGACTTGAACATTTGTGATGTCACTTGTGATCCTGTTGGACAGGGGTCTTTATCAGTGTAGGCTCAGTATTTTTTGACTGAGAGGGCCTCAGTACAGGGCATGAGAATATTTTCTGCCCATGTCCTTTCCTCCTCAATCCACACTCTTTCCTACCCCAGCCCTTTCCATACACTAGTTAACTCTTGACAGTAATTACAGAGCTTGAACTTCTTCCATTACCCTTTAAATTCTTTTGAGAACAATATATAAATAAAATATGCTATTAACTTTAGTTTGTTTTTTTCCTAACATCGAAGAATCTTGGAAGAGTGGTCCAATGGGATCAGCCAAGGAAAGTTTACTTAGAGAGAAGAGCCATAAATTAACTTTGAAGGCAGGGATTATCTGGTGTTAGCTTTATATACTGTACATGTATTTTGAATGACTTCTTTTCCTTGAAAAATTTTAATGATTTTAGTTGATGAGGAATCTGGATTAAAGGATTCAGAACCAGAACGAAAACGTAAGAAGATTGAGGACTCTTCTTTAGGGAAATCAGTGGTACCGGATGTCCCCGAAGGTAAAGTAAACATAACATTTTTCCTTATCCATATGAAATAAAAATTCAGTACCATAGTAAGTGTTCTGTTGTTTAGATGACTATTGGCATTTCTGAAAACAGAAATAGTTTTTTTTTACCTAGCAAGGATTTTTTTTTCCATTCTTAAAAGTCTGGGATAAGTCTTTTTTTTTTATTCCTGGTACTTTCTTTGCTGCTGTTGTAAGAACTAAGTTATACTTGCCTAGGCAGAAATTTTAGTAAAGTAAACATGCTGAAAAGCTAGCAGACTGTGGCCAGCTAGAACAGGCCAAAGGAGCACCATATTCATTTACTCAGCATATTCCTCAGGCAAATAGTTGTCCATCGTTCTGCCTCTTTTTTCTGCTTTTATTGTATGGGATTCCAAAGATGTTCATTTCAAAAATACCATTAGATTCTTTTTCAACGAATTGCTACTCTGAAGAAATTTCATGATATCCTGGAGGCTCTAGAGTATTACAGAATATGTTAAAAAAAATAAAGCCCTCAGGGGGTGCCTGGGTGGCTCAGTCATTAAGCATCTGCCTTGGGCTCAAGTCATGGTCTGGAGCCATACATCCGGCTCCCTGCTCAGCCTGCTTCTCCCTCTCCCTTTGCTTGTGTTCCCTTTCTTGCTGTCTCCCTCTCTGTCAAATATATAAATGAAATCTTTAAAATAAATAAGTGAAGCCCTTGGTTTTGTGATTAAAGGCTTAATTGCTCTTGATCCCTAGATACTTAGCCATATATATTATGTTTATAAAATTATATGCTATGATTAGCATGTTTGTCATGTTTAGAGAACTTGATTAATACAGCTGTAGATACTAATTTCCCTCCATTCTCTTTCCCCCCTTTCTTCCTGTCCTCTAGATTTAGACTTCCTCGTACCGAAGGCTGGATTCTTCTGTCCAATATGTTCCCTCTTCTACTCAGGTGAAAAAGCAATGACAAATCACTGCAAGAGTACACGTCATAAGCAAAATACAGAGGTAAATTTTTTTCTTAACACCTCATAAAATACTCCAGGGGGTATTGTAATCAGACTACTTAAGTGTTCACCCAGAATGTATATTCTTTTCCTTCGGGAGAACTTTAGAAGATTTGTGCCAGTTTATTCCTCTGTAGTTCAAAAGTACAGTCTTCACTGTATACTGCAAGGAATGTCTAGTCTTTATTCCTTTTCCTCTGGCAGCATTCCCCAGGGTAGATTCTACAGATCTCTAGTCTGTGTAACTCTCCATTAAAGTGTGGGAAACCATATATTCTGATGGCCCCTTGCAGAGTCAGCAGACGAATAACATACTAAAATTTGTGAATTGTCTAGTCAGAGAGAATCTGTTTAACTTTATTTAACCCATTTCCTAAACTGATTTAATGACACCCCTCACCCCCCTTTTAAGTTGTACTCATCTTTAGGAAGTGCTCCTTTAGAGAATCATTATTAGCCATAGTTGAAGCAGTGGTTCTGATTCCTCCTGAATGTTTGAGGTTGTTTTATATAGCCTCTAAATTGAATTTGTGGTACCGACACTCAGCTAACATTGAGTTGTTATTTGCTGGAAGCTTATTTAATACCCTCCCCATCAGCATTATGAGGTAGATGGTATCATTCCAAACTTCTTTATTACTTTTTTTTAATCATTCCAATTTTAAAGGTAGGAAAAAAGGCTTAAAGGGTATCTAATCCCAAGATCACATAGCAGGTTAGTTGCATACTTAGGATTTTAACCTAGCTCTGTTTTATTCTAGCCTCAAAACCTTAACCATTAAGAGCACAGACTATACTGTCTGTGCTCTTAACTTGTTGTGTCATTTTTCCATTTAAAATTTCCACTGGCTTTGTATTGGAATAATACATAGACTTCTTCTTGTAGGTCTGTAAAGCCCTACATGATCTGATTCCTTTCTATTTCTCTGGCCTCACTCTCTGTTATTACTCACTATGTTGCAGTTTTTCTGGTACTCATTTTTTTTTTTTTTTTGTTTCCTATATATAAAAGGCCCCTTTGCTACTTTGGCACCTTTATATCCCTGTTCCTTTTGCCCTCTCCCAGTCCCACTTATTTTCCTTGAAAAATTTAATGATAGCTGCCTCTTCTCCACTTTTAGCTAAGTCTAGACTCAAATGTCATCTTCCCAGAAAGACTTTTGCTTAAGACAGACCTAGCTAGAAGTACAAAACTCCCTCCTACTGCCAAGAAGGGTTCACCTCGGTCACTTCCCTTATTGTATTTCTTTCCTTTATAGTGCTTACCAGCACAAAAATTTGTCTTATTTATTCTTTTATTGTTTCTCTTCCCCCACTAGAATGTAAGCTCCATGAGGTAAAGGGCCTTACCTATCTTGTTGACCACTGAATCCCCAAGCACCAAGCGTAATGCCTGGTATGTCATAAATATCAGATGACTGGTGAATGGAAGGAAAGAATGTTAATGTAAGGCACTGTGTTTCTAATCTCTGTTTTGTAGGATCAGGCTCTTATAAATTATAAATTCAGTGAAATATATATGTTTTTACACACAGCAGAGCAACACCTAATAGATATTTTATATTGCAAATTGTTTTTAACAGAAGTTCATGGCCAAGCAAAGAAAGGAAAAGGAGCAGAATGAGGCTGAAGAAAGAAGTTCTAGGTGATTGGGGGAAAGGGGAAAGACTTCATTAGAAATTTGTTTAGGGTCCAGTTGATTTGTGTATTTTTGTTATCACTTAATTTGTAATTTTTGTTTCAGAAGCAAATATTCATGTTGTACAAATTTCTGATTGCCCTTGATGTGGAAAGACTGATGGGGAAAGTATGATGTGTTTGATTTTTATATCAAATCATCAGGCATGGAGAAGTATCTTTTAGAAGTGTTAAAATAAATGTTCCTACTGTATATTTAAAATACCATCTTGTGTTTGTGACTGATTTATTAAAGACTTGTGTGTCTCTGATTTCAGACAAGAGACCCTTGTGACTTGCTTAGGGATTGTTCATATATTAACTGGAAGTCATAGCAGAGCAGGGTTTCACTTTGTTTCAACCATTCATGTACAGGTCAAAGATTTCTTAAAACTCCTAATTTTTCTGGATGAAATTAGATTACATATAATTGACCCCAGATAGGTTTGAGTAAAACTGCTTGTTGTTTTCAGTGTGTTAAGAATATCTTTTTGGGAAGAGGTGGTTGTAAGGGAGACGAGCTCGCGGCTCTCCGGCTTCTGAGGCTTGAGGTTCGTCGGAGGGAGGGGGCGGCGAGTGAGAAGAATCCGCTGCGGCCAGTCCTCGGCGACTCTCCTGCTGACCTCCGTGTGACGTACCTGCCGCCGCTGTTGGTTGGAGCATTTGACATTGTGCAGCAAAGAAATGGTTATGGAGAAGCCCAGTCCGCTGCTTGTAGGGCGGGAGTTTGTGAGGCAATATTATACTTTGCTGAATAAAGCTCCAGAATATTTACACAGGTTTTATGGCAGGAATTCTTCCTACGTCCATGGTGGAGTAGACGCTAGTGGGAAGCCCCAGGAGGCGGTTTATGGCCAAAATGATATACACCACAAAGTATTATCTCTGAACTTCAGTGAATGTCATGCTAAAATTCGTCACGTGGATGCTCACGCAACCTTGAGTGATGGAGTGGTCGTCCAGGTCATGGGTCTGCTGTCTAATAGTGGACAGCCGGAGAGGAAGTTTATGCAGACCTTTGTTCTGGCTCCTGAAGGATCTGTTCCAAATAAGTTTTATGTTCACAATGCTATGTTTTGTTATGAAGATGAAGTATTTGGTGATTCTGAACCAGAACTTGATGAAGAATCAGAAGACGAGGTAGAAGAGGAACAAGAAGAAAGGCAACCGTCTCCAGAACCTGTGCAAGAAAATGCGGATAGTGGTTACTATGAAGCTCACCCCGTGGCTAATGGCATAGAGGAGCCTTTGGAAGAATCCTCTCATGAACCTGAACCTGAGCCAGAATCTGAAACAAAGACTGAAGAACTAAAGCCACAAGTGGAGGAGAAGAACTTAGAAGAGTTAGAGGAGAAGTCTACTTCTCCTCCTCCTGCCGAACCTGTTTCTCTGCCACAGGAACCACCAAAGCCAAGAGTTGAAGCTAAACTGGAAGTTCAGTCTCAGCTACCTCATGTGCGTGAACAACGACCTAGAGAACGACCTGGTTTCCCTCCTAGAGGATCGAGACCAGGCAGAGGAGATATTGAACAGAATGAATCTGACAACCGTAGAATAATCCGCTATCCAGACAGTCATCAACTTTTTGTTGGTAACTTGCCACATGATATTGATGAAAATGAACTGAAAGGGTTCTTCATGAGTTTCGGAAACGTTGTGGAACTTCGCATCAATACGAAGGGTGTTGGGGGAAAGCTTCCAAACTTTGGTTTTGTGGTTTTTGATGACTCTGAACCAGTTCAGAGAATCTTAATTGCAAAACCAATTATGTTTCGAGGGGAAGTACGTTTAAATGTAGAAGAGAAAAAAACGAGAGCTGCGAGAGAGCGAGAAACCAGAGGTGGTGGTGATGACCGCAGGGATATTAGGCGCAATGATTGAGGTCCTGGTGGTCCACGTGGCATAGTGGGCGGTGGAATGATGCGTGACCGGGACGGAAGAGGACTTCCTCCGAGAGGTGGCATGGCACAGAAACTTGGCTCTGGAAGAGGAACCGGGCAAATGGAAGGCTGCTTCACAGGACCGCGTCGCTGAAGCTCCACTGTTGGCAAAGTCTTGGCAGTGGTACATTATTCATCGTGTTTGCATTCTTGTTAAATTTTTTTTGGCTTTGGAATGTGACACAGCCTTTTTGATCATTTCTTTGATGTGAAAAGCATCTTTTGGTTATCAGTTAAATTGAGGTGGACATTATTTCCCCAATTTCACAACAGGAGTCACATTGTTAATTTATAAATCTAGACTTGGAGAATTAAGGACTGAGAAATGACCATATCTTAAACTGTCTACAACAAAATGAACTTAAAAGGACATGCCCAACTGAATTCAGGTCCTTTGAGTCAAAAAAAAAAAAAAAAATCCTCTGCTGCACATTTTGTTTAAGTGTTACTGTTTCTGCCTATTAATGTTGGAAACACAAATAGTGCAATTTGTGCAATTGGAGAATCTTGCCTTTTTTCTTGGCTCCCCCCCAAAATACAACCCAACAGAAACTTGTTATGCACTCATCAAAATGCACTAATGGGTACTCTGAACTCATTAACATTGACATCTGCAACAGGAGGCAACAGGGGGAAAAATCTTTCTTTTTTTCCAGTAGAGAATAGTTTGTGAAATGATGAGGGCATTTTATCTGCTTGCTGTGACCAGCGTGTGTACACATAAACCTTAACAAGACTACAAGTATATTCCAGAAGGGAATCATTTAGTTATGAACTAAATAACAAAAATCAGAACTTCAAATGCTATGGTCTTGAATATCAGAGCAGATTTAGTTGCTCATATCTAAGATTTTTCTACCTGCCCCTCTTCAGGACAGGGATGGCTGGCTGCTCAACACACTCCTCCCTTTTCCTTCCTTCCAGTTGTGTACAGTGAAAATTGTCTTTACTGTATTTTCGTTCTCTGGTAATGTAATAAGCATGATGGTGCCTTCTACTAACACGTCATTCCAGTCTTGCTGGTGACTTTGTACAGTGTAGTGTGTGACCTGCTGCAAAGCCAAACAGCTGCGAAATGTTGAAAAATCATTGAAGTGTGTAAAAATTACAGTATCTTTAAAATCAGTAAAGTCGACTAGCATTTTATTTAAAAAAAAAAAAAAAGAATATCTTTTTGTCTGCTTGTGGTAACATCTAGTTTCTGCCAGGACCCATTTGAGTTAGCTTCTAGCAAGTTATTTAGTATTAACTTGAAAAACTACAAAGACAGAGCAGCCTTTACTTCCTGTGAGCTGCTACAGTTGCTTTTAAACCGTTTAAATTATTATTTAATATTTTTGTTAAAAGTTGTAAAGGTGCAAAAATATAATTCAGTGCTTGTTGGGTGCAGGACACAGCCCTGTGCTGTGAATTTTTAGATTAGGTGTGCTTCAGACATAGGCCTGCTGACTTTGAATTGCTTTAATATCAGATTTCTCAGCTTTTCCAAGATTAGAGTATACCAGTTAATAATAGAGAGTGAATGGAAGGAAATGAAAAACTACTAGTCTTTTAGATCTCTTACTCCTGTCACATGTAGCACATTACCTCACAATGAGCAAAGAGTGGAGTGAAGAAAAAAACCCAGCAACTTCTTGTTGTTGCCCACCAAAGTCATTCATTGCACACTAGGTTCAGGCTTAGCTACAGCCTGAGCAAAACAACAGACTGCGACATGCCATCGACTAAGGAGTGGGGTGGGAGGGGAGGGCGTGACTTATGCATGCCAGGAGTCTGCTGTAATTAAACCCTTGTAGGTAAGGGGCGCCTTGGTGGCACAGCTGGTTATGCATCTGACTCTTGGTTTTGGCTCAGGTCACACCCTTAAGACTCCCTCTCTCTCTGCCCCCACTCCCCTCCACCCCCGCTCTCTTTGTGCGTGCTCTCTCAAATATATAAATCTTCAAAAAAAAAAAATTCCTGATAGGTGAGTGAAGTAGTAAGAGAGAGAAGAGCTGTTAAAAGTTTGGAGAATAAGGGGCGCCTGGGTGGCTCAGTGGGTTGAGCCTCCGCCTTCGGCTCAGGTCAAGATCTCTGGGTCATGGGATCAAGCCCCACATTGGGCTCTGCTCGGCCGGGACCCTGCTTCCCCCTCTCTCTTTGCCTGCCTCTCTGCCTACTTGTAATCTCTCTCTCTGTCAAATAAATAAATAGAATTAAAAAAAAAAAAAAGTTTAGAGAGTAAGTTGCTGGAAGCAAGCTATAAAGCAGCATAGTCAGATTAAGTAAGAATCTTAAATTTTGGAATCTTTTCCTTAGGGGAAAGCTTTTAAAATCAGATAACATATGAGCTTTAATCTTGTCTGCACCAACCTCGGAATTTAATTTTAAAAAAATTAAGTGTGAGGGATGCCTGGGTGGCTCAGTTGGTTAATAAGCATCTGCCTTCGGCTCGGGTCATGATCTCGGGGCTGGGGATTGAGCCCTGTATAGGCTCCCTACTCAGTGGGGAGTCTGCTTCTCTCCCCCTCTTAGGCCCTCCCCCCAGCTCATGCTCTCGTAAAAAGTCTTTTAAAAAAATGTGTGAAACTCTTTTATTTCTTTCAAATTAGTTATGTGGAAATTGGGATTTTGTATTGGAATAAAAGGAATTGCTAAAGCATAAAAGTGGTGTAGGGGTGATTTTTGTTTTAGTGATATGTTGATGGTTAGCTATACATAGTAAATAAATAATGTTCCTGTATGGAGGAGTGGGAATTTTTATCCTAGGTCTCCAAATAAAGAAGATTTTTGAGTTTTGCCAAAAATAAACATAGACTCTTCACATATAATTTTAGAATTGTTCTGCACTCTTTCCAGGAAACCTTGAAATACCTCCCTCCTTTATTCATACTACACATACGGAATATCATATACATAGCAGTTTGCTTACTGATTGGTTAAGGGTGTAATAGTTTTTAAAGATTCTATCATTTCATCATTTGGACACGAAAGCAATAAAAGATTGCATTCAGCACCACCTCTAATAAAAGTTTTTAGTTTTACCGTTTCTGGCACAGAATGCTATGAGAATTGGCTTCCTCCAATTCCTCTTCCTCTTCTGAATTCTTAAAAAAAGAAAGCCAGATTTTAAAAACTTTAAATTTTTATTTTAATATTCGGATGTGAAAAAAAAGCATATTGAACAGAATACTCATATATACTAATTACGCAGTTTCAGCAGTTATCAACTCAAAACCGAATACATATATGTCCACTCTTCTCTTATATTTTAAAGGAAATCTCAGCATGTCATTTTACCCATACACATTTCATTATGTTTCTAAAAGATAAGGATTCTTTTTAAGTAATAATATCATTAAAAATACTCCTTATTTAAATCCAGTTCAAATTTTCTAATATTTCATAAGTGATTTTTTGTTTTACTGAAGAGATCTGAATAAAGCCATACCCTGTGACTAGCTGGATAAGTCTTTTTAATTATTTTTAACGTAGGGATGTTCTCAGGGTGCCTGGGTAGCTCAGTAAAGGGTCTGCCTTCAGCTCCCTGCATCAGGCTCCCTGCTCAGTGGGGATTCTGCTGCTCACTCTCCCTCTGCCCTGCTCTCTCTCTCTTTCTCAAATAAACAGAATCTTAAAAAAAAAAAAAAAGTTTGAAAGGATATTCTTCTCTTCTTGGAATTAAGATAAATGAGATACTTGGTTCTACAAATCTGTTCTGCTCAAAATGTAGTTTTGGAATCTAATGCTGGTCCACGAAGTATGCCACTTCATGTTGACTTACATACAGAAAATGAGTGTCTAGAAACCTTGTTGCAGTTTGTGACTTTATATCTATTTGTTGGATATGCTAATTTAAAAATGGGGTTTTAGGTTTCTGTACTTATTTATTTGTATTTTACAAATGATCTCTGATGGATTGGAAATAGGGGGAAAAAGGAAAGGAAAAATAAGCCGATTGATCATATAATTTGAGAAACACTGCTGAAAGCATTCCTCACAGTTTGGATTTTGCTGATTGCAACCCCATAGTATAGTTTTAATATATTTTCTCTGTTGTCTGATAGCTTTCGAATTTGTAGTTGAATATGGAAATGTGATTGGAATTTGGTTTCTTTTTCTTTTTGTCAAGACTGCTTCAGTGATGTGGTCTTCCTGATCAGCAGGCACAAAGTATCTGATTGTTTTCTTTGGGATTTTCATAGAAGTTGATGCTTAAAGCCTAGATGTATATTTATTCACTGGGGATTACAAAATGGTGATATTTTAACCAACTGAGCCACCCAGGCGTCCCAACAAAATGGTGATATTTTAATTTGTATATTTCTCCTTGTGTAAGCTAGAATACTCCCTGAAAAGAGCAACTTCTCTCATCTGCTCTTTGGTTACTTAGTGGTATCCTTTGTTTAAGAACGGCTTAAGTATTTGATGCTTTTCCTTTACTTAACATTTTCTCAAAATGAGTTGTTTTGTTGGCACCCACCGAATACGGTAAACTCTTTTTATGTAGGTATTAACTTGAACTCATGAATTTTAATATTGGATGTTGCAAACCTTTACAGCAGTAGCCTTATTGATGCTCAAATTGTCATACTTTGGGCCTTTTTCATATGACTCCTCATTCTTTTTGACAGGACACGACTAATTTTCCTGGGTTCCTTGCTTTCCATATATAGAGGTTTTACAGGCTCGTCTTGTACACTTTCTGCTTCAGACCTGAAGTCAGCCATCTCTTTCAGGAAAAGTGGCTCCTTAGGATGGTCATTGCTTCTGTTTTGGTTGTTGCCTTTCAGTGGACAGAACTTGGAAATGTACGTTTTGTTTTTATGATAAAGTGCATCATTGTCATACTGACACTTCTGGTTCAAATTTGGGACTTTCAGGTTTTTATCTCTTCTTAAATCTGGATTTTATTTGTCTTATGTCATGTATTATAATTCTCAAGGACATCAGATTGATGGGATTCAACTATCAAAATTGCTTATCTGTATCTCACTTTACCTATATCAAAAAAACAATCCTGAGACCACAGCCAACCATGTGATCAGTAAAAACAGTTTAAAATACTTTTTCAGCTTTGCTTTTGTTTTTGTCCTTAGGGTATATCCTAGTAAGGATATATATATTTATCCTAGTAAGGATATATATCCTAGTGAGGATATATATTTAAACTTTTAAGTCACTTGAAATAGTTCTTTAGTAGTTCCACTACCTTGTAGATTACCTTTGAGGTTCATTTGTTTAATTTTATCTTTGATTTTTAGGGGTTACATTTTAAAATTTATGTTACAAAAAGCATTGCACATGGTTCTAAAGTCACACTAGTAAAAACATGGTATATTCAAAGAAGTGTAGCTCCTTTCTTACTCCATCCTATCACTTCCCTCCCTAATGTAAGTAACTGTTCATTGTTAGTTTTGTAATACATTTTTTATATATGTAAGCAGATTCATATCTGGAATAATCAGTTTTTAATACCTATGTCTTTATAATGATTGTTAATCTATAAGGAGAACCACTGACAATATGCTTTATTCTACTTTGACATCTATAAACCTTCATCGGCAAAACATTACAGGCTTATGAGATAGGTGCTGAACTTAAAAAAGTGTGTATGAATGTGTATATATGTATATAAACCATGTTCCTGTCCTCTCCAAGGGCTTACATGAGAACATGAGCATAAAAAGTTACTTGACAATTTTGACTATGCTAAGTGCTTACTGAATGATACAGGTATCAAGAGTTAACATATGGAGAAGTAAAATGAAAAAGGAGGAGGATTAAAGACTAAGATGGGATTACACTGTTGTAAGTTTTTACATTATTTCTAAAGTGGTGTGATACTAACTCAAGATAGACTAATTAGTAAGGATCTCTACCACTTGAAAAATGCAAATAGATTACTAAGAATTAGTCTAACCCAAAAAAAGACAGGAAAGGGAGAATAAAGGATTGTAGAGACATAGAAAACTTAGAGAAAGATGGTAGACTTGTGCCCAACCATATCAGTAATTTTGTTAAATGTCAATAGACTGCACATTCTAATTAAATTTTCATGTTGGATACTTTTTTTAAATTTTATTTTTGTAGTGTTCCAAATTTCACTGTTTACGCACCACACCCAGTGCTCCATGCAGTACGTGCCCTCAATACCCACCACCAGG